TTTTTTTTTTTTTTTTTTTTTTGTCTTTTTGTCTTTTTTTCCGTGTCCGGCAACGGATCGCAACCCTCAGTGTTGCCCCCGTACCGGACGGGGGACCGGCAACGGGATCGCAAGCCTTGGTGTTGCACCCGCGCCTCGCTCAGCCAGTGAGCGGGAACCGGTCTGTATGTGGGATCCGAACCCTCGGGCGGGAGCGCCGCCGCGCTTCCCAAGCGGCGCACTATCCAGTGCGCCACCGGGCCGGCCCCGACTGCAGTCTTCTATACTCACAAATAACCTGGACAAATGTGATATATCACAAAAGGTTGAAGAGTCCACAGAAGACTTCTATTTCTAGCAATGATAGACTAGATAATTTGGATCAGCCCTCTTGCTCAGGTGAGAGCTGTGTGTGTGTGTGTGTGTGTGTGCACGTGTGTGTGTGTGTGTGTTTGTATTAGTGTTCGAAGGTGCTGAACAACTACTAATACGTGAAAAATCACTGAGCAAGAACCAGGAGAACATTAAAAACCAGAGAGGTGAGTCTGACATATGGGGCCATTTTTCCCATGGGCTCATTTCTGACTCCAGAAGAAGCACCTGTGAGGGCAGACATTGGAATCTATGACCTGTCAAAGGAAGAAGCACCGGGTAAGCCCTCTGTGCTTTAGTTCATAAGTGGCTTATCCTTGAAGGGACAACTGTCTGGTTTTGAGTTATTTCAGTCCCTAAATTATCTGAGTTTCACAAATCAGATTAAGGCAATCTTGGATTCTAATGCCTTCGGTTGACTAGAAGAAGCAAATATAAATTCTCTGAAGTTAGCATCATTCTAGGCTTCAAATTATTTCTACAAACAATTCAAAAAATATAATATATGGCACTCCCTCACAAAAACAATATTAATAATATAGTGTCCAGAAACAAGGCAAGATAACATGAAGAAAAATACCCGATACAATAGACAATAGAATAGGTCCATAGGATCTTCAAATACTGGTGGCATCAAACTCAAGCTTTAAAAAAAACTATGTTTACTGTGTTTAAGGAGATAAAAAATAAGATTGAGAATTTTAGCAAAGAACAAGAAACAAACCAAAAAGTCTACTTCAGTTTTGAAAAATCAGCACATTAGCAGAATAAAAAAGAAAAATGATGTTCTGAAAAGCATTTGATAAATTAATCTATTATGATTTAAAAATAAAACTCTTAATAGAGAATAAAAAGGAATTTCCTCAATCTGATAAAGGGTATCTACCAAAAATCTACTGCAAATAGTACAGTTAGTGATGAAATGTCAAAAGTGTACTTCTGGAGACTAGGAACAGGGCAAGACCATTGTCACCCCTGCTGTTCAACATTGTTCTGGAGGTCCTAGCTACAGCAGTAAAATGGAGATGGACACAGAAAAGTATAAGGATTGAAGAGGAAGAAATAAAACTGTCATTATCTAAAATGAATAATTGCATATGTAGAAAATAAAAAAGAATCTACATTCTACATTAGTAAAGTCAATATACAAATGGCAACAAACAAAAAATAAAGTTAAAAAAAACCATTTACCATAGCATCAAAAAATTAAATTCATAGGAATTAAAATGTATGTCATGCCTAAAGCATTATTGAGAAAAAATTAAAGACCTGAATAAATGAAGAGACATTTCATATTCATTGATTAGAAAATTCTATATTATAGAAATATTTCCCCAAATTGATCTGTTGTTTCAAAGTAATTGCAGTCAAAATCCCAAAGTGTTTTTATTCTTATGGAGCTTGACAAATTGATTCTATGATTTATGTGGTGATGCAAAGCACCGAGAGTAGCCGACTCTTGGAGAAGAACAAGATTGGTGGATTTGCTTAACAAAATATTACAATATACTATAAAGTCACAGAAATTAAAACAATATGGTATTGGTGCAAGGATAAACAATAAATCAGTAAAATGATCATTGCAGATAAGATCCATCAATGGATTCTGAAATTTGTGGTAAAACCTTAAGGAGAAACAGGATCTTCATAGTCTCAAAGTGTCTCTCCCAAGATATATAATAACTGCAAAGGGAAAGATGGTATCTTTAAGGGGAGAAACCCAGAAGAAACCTTTTTAATGAAGTGATCAAGGTCAACATCATCAGTAATAAGACTTATTGATATTATTATGAACTCCTTGATACACACTAAGAACATGATCTAATTCCTGGGGTGTTTTTGCAAAAAATGCAAAAAATAAGATACATAAGGAACATTCAACAAAATAATTGATCAATACTCTTCAAAAATGTCAAGGTAATGAAAAATAAGGGTAGTCTGAGGAACTGTCAGATTAGAAGAGACTAAGGACAAATAACAACTAAATATAATGCAGGATCCTAGATAAGATCCTAGAATAGAAAAAGAACATTTGTAAACAACAGGTGAAATTTGAATAAGGACAGTAGTTTGTTTATTTAATAGTATTATACCATTGTTATTTTCTTGGTTTTGACAATCGTCTATGATTATAGAAGATGTTAACATTAGGAGAAGGTTGGTGAGGGATATATGAGAATTTTCTGCAGTATTTATGTAACTTTTCTGTAAATTTCAACTTACTTGAAAATGAAAACTTAGAAAACATTTTTGTTAAGTTTTAAAATACTCTTTCCCACTATGGTGAATTGTTCCCCCTGTCTCTCCAACTTCCTCGGTATGTCCCTGCTCAGAAATTTGTGTTTTATTCTAAGTGTGATGAGAATCCTTTGGAGGTGTGAGAACAAAGGAATGATGTGATTTGATTTTTATTAATGATATTGTGGGCATGTTTTTTTTTTTTTTGTCTTTTGTCTTTTTCCGTGTCCGGCAACGGATCGCAACCCTCAGTGTTGCCCCCGTACCGGACCGGGGACCGGCAACGGGATCGCAACCCTCGGTGTTGCTCCCGCGCCTTGCTCAGCCAGTGAGCGGGAACCAGTCTGTATGTGGGATCCGAAACCTCGGGCGGGAGCGCCGCCGCGCTTCCCAAGCGGTGCACTATCCAGTGCGCCACTGGGCCGGCCCTATTGTGGGCATTTTGTTAAAATTTATTTTTTTATTATATGGGTGTCCAATCAAAAAGTTTTGGAGACTCAGATTAGGGAATGGTATGAGAAAATTGTTTTACTAAGAAGAAACCTACTGACTTTCTTCAATAGATGAGAAATTATTATACAAATCATTTCATGGTCTGAATGACAATATCTGTGCTGAATTTGAAATATCAGAGGATTTTAATCAAGAATAAGTATGTCTGTATTAAGTCTTGTTCGAGCTGGAGTTTATTCCTTAAGGGTTATGTGATCACTCTCAGTGATTTGATATAGGAAAAGTCTTGTCTACAAAATAATTTCTCAGAATCACTTCAAATTCTGTGATTTTATATTACTCTCTATTTCCTCTCTCCTTAAATATTATTTTTAAAGTTATGTACATAAATGGATTCATTTAAAAAACAAAATATTGCATAATCATCTTAGTATCCACAAAGTTGAACATAATGTCAGCCAAGAGGTCTCACACTGGCAGCCTGTGGGCGGGATGTAGTCCACATGTGTGTTTTGTTGAGTTACATGGTATTTTAAAAGAGTTGGAGTCAACATATTAAGATCTGGGGTTTAAATAGTAATCTAGATTTCTGTCTTCTCTTGAAAAACTGGAGGATCTAAGCAACATTGGGCCTACATTCCCACAAGGCAATAATCAACTGTAGTTGAGCTGGAGCAGCCTCCCTTAGGAGACCTCCCTTAGACGAGGCATGTCTTTCCCAGGCCACCAGAGTCCCCATACACATGGTTTGTTTATAGTATACAATCCTGACCTGTTTTATTTATATCATATACCTGGCCTCTGTAGGCATTTAAGTTTGGGGCATCTGGATAGATCATGATCCTTCATAATACACTCTTTTCTTCACCTTTCTAGGAATCCCCTATCCCAGAAGACAAAGGCCGCCGATTTGTCTTCTCTTATTTTCTAGCTACTGACATGATCAGTATCTTTGAGCCTCCTGTTCGCAATTCTGGTATCATTGGGGGCAAGTACCTTGGCAGAACTAAAGTCGTTAAACCACACTCCACGGTGGATAACCCCATCTACTATGGCCCTGGTGACTTCTTCATTGGTGCTCTGATTGAGGGTAGGTTTAAACACAATACAGAATTTCCTACTAGCTGGGTGAATGGCTTCTTCCTAGTTGGAATTTAATTCAATAAAACCTTGTAAGATCCAATTAGGCTGTATTCCATTTGAGATAATGCTTAATTTTTTTTTATATACGATATAATGTCTTAATCTCCTTCCTTTTTTTTTTTTTTTCCTTTTTTTTTTTTGTAATCTCCTTCCTTTTTAATTAAACTCTAAATTGGTTGCATTTGTTAGCTCTAGATGTTGACACTGAGCTTCCTACACACTGAGCAAACTACCACATATTAGTTTATAGAGCTATTGAAAGTTCATTAGTCTGGGTCACAAATGAATATCTGTGAATTCATCATTTGAGGTTAATATTACTCTATCCTTAAAATATTATTTCATGAGAGAAACATAACCAACTTAAGTGTATTGCTACCTTCTCCCCAGTGTTTGGCCACCGGTTCATCATCCTCGATACAGATGAATATGTTTTGAAATACATGGAAAGCAATCCTAACCAGTATTCACCAGAAGCACTCTCATCAATTCAGAACCACATCCGAAAGCAAGAAGCTCCTGCACCAAAATTGGAAAAGTAGGTTTGACTGCCTAGAGTTCAGTTTGGCTTTGGCACATGCATGATATTCAGGAAGTAGTTCTTGACAAAATGAATGAGTAATCACATTTTAAATTCAGATTTCTCTCATCAGATGGGAATTATTAGACATAAACAGAAGGTTCCCTGGGTATCTTTTTCTCATTGCTAAATTAAAAGAAAAAAAACGACCTCTGGATCTAGAAGGGACCATTGGAGGAACAGGCCCTGCTGTTCCTAGTGGCTGGGCCTAGCAGAGACCTCATGGACCTTTATTCTTGAAGCCCAGGACTGGGCATGATGAGGTGGGAACACCCACCTGAGGAGCTCCACCCTCCCAAGGGTATAGGTGCCCAGAGGATGTTTTTTTCCAGGACAGATGGGCCCTGTGTCTCGGGGGTGGGGTGGGGGTCAGCCTTCAGCAGCAGTGCACACCCCACCTTCCCCATACTTGCACGGGGGTGAGATTTGGAGTGATGGGAAGGTTTTTAAGGGCCAGGGATGAATCTGTTCTAAATATCATTACTTGTAAATGAAGTCTATTTTTCTTCCTTGGGGAAAAAAAAAAGACAATTTTGCTGGTAATAAGCTGAAGCAAAAAGCTTTCCAGTGTCTTCTGGTATTTGCATAGATATGGGACAATTACAAAAAAAAAATATTTTGAAAAATACTTGAATTAAATGTATACCATGAATATCAAGTGGGAACTTAATGCTTTCCAGCCACAAAACTATACTTCTCTAGTGCATTCAGCTTTCCACTCTGCTAGATGATTACCATATTTCTTTGGTCAGGAGATAATTTTTTTTCACATTTTAACATTGCTGGAATTAGGATGCATTTTTTAATTTATGGTAAATATGGATTATAATTGGTAATTTTTTCTTGCTTAGTAGTAGATAAAATAATGCTGTGTCTTTATTTTCGTTTTATTTTTGTATTCATTTTATTTTAATATTTGTTTTATTTGCATAGTCAATAAAATAGAGCTTTTCACAACTTCTCCTCTCCCTGAAACCTCCAGCATCTCCCCATCCTCATTCTTATTATACTACTATACTGAACACAATGAAACAAGTAGAAGGGCCCCCCAGCCATATCTACCCATGTACCAGCACCTGTACCCACATACGCTGCCTTCCTACTTGCTACCAGGGATCAAGGTTTCAAAGAGTATCCCCAGGACCCCTGGAGGTTCCCAACATGCTTTTGGGGGCCTGTGAGGTCAAAACTATTCTCACAGTAATACTGAGTCATTATTTGTCTTTTTACTCTTGTTTTCACACAAGATTTCCAAAGATTACACAGTGAATGATATCACAGCAGGCTGAATACAGAAGCAGATGAAAATCCAGATGTCTTCTATTAATAAAATCAGATATTAAAGAGATTTGCAAAAATGTAAAAAATGCCAGTCTTCTCACTAAATTTTTTTTATTTGGGAAAATAGAAAATATAGTTATTTTTCATAAAAATTATGTTATTTTTGTTAACATGAAATGGGTTTATTATTGATTCTTAAATTAATATTTTCAAAATTTTCAAATATAATTTCTAATATACTAAATGGAATAGATAAGACATAAAAATTCTTTAGGGTCCTCAATAATTTTTAAGTGTATAAAGGTGTCCTGAGACCAAAAAGTAGAGAACTACTGCCCTAAATGAATGGTTGGTGCTTCTATCGGAATTCAGTTCCTCCACTTGTGTATTAAACCCCATCCTCTCTCATATGCTCCAGTAATTCCCCCCTCTCTCACACGTTTATTGTTTTCTTCTCTATAGAATCATTCCTGTTAACGAACACACATAGTGTTATTTTTCTATAATAAAAAAAAAAGCAAAAGCAAAAACAAATTGAAACAAAACCTTCTCCTGACTCCACGTCCTCTGCTAGCTGGGGCCCCATTTCTCTGTTCCCCTTTGCACCAAATCTCCTCAAAAGAGTTGTCTGTAATTCCAGTCTAGAATTCCTTTCTTCCCATTCTCTCTTAAATCCACTCCCATCAGGTTTTTCTACCTCTCCCATTCCACTAAAACCCCGCATTAAGGAGGTTTCCTGACATATTATCAAATCCCCATTTGACACAATGAATCATTCTGTCTTCCTTGATATACAGGCAGTTCTCTATTTTCACTGTTCTGAGATGCATGAACTTCAGTTACCACCATTTAGTAAAGTAACCCAGTTCCTCAACAGCATGGTTCAAATTCCAGTTACCACAGTTTGTTAACTGTGAGTAATTGCATAAACCACAAACTTCTCTGTGAGGTCTTTAGTTCACTAATAATGACATAAATAACAGATGCGCATCATGATCAATGACACGTCACACGTTTCAAAGTCTGTTGGTGGTTGGTCACTGTGCACCTATTTTTTAGTTCACTCATAGAAAAGTGTGAAGCTGTGTTGCCTCCTTGTCTCAAAGTGACACACCCACATGATACTTCACAAAATGTGTTATCAAGAGAGAATTAGACAACAAAGATAAAATTGCATCAAAGAAACAAAAAGTGATGATGCTAGAAGTGAAATTCATGTCAAACATAAATGAACTTATGGAAGAAAGAGCTGAGTGTGGGAATGTTGACACTGCCACCTTTCAAGACACTAGGTATGCAGCTGGAGGAGCCTGGTGAAGGTAAACCTATTGACCTAAATGAGGAGAGCTGTTGTAATGAAAAGGTCGAAGACATCCCAGATGCCTGAAAAAAACTTAAGATTAAAAGTACTCTTAGAGGTATTTCACACTCATTGAAGAAACTCTAGAAGATATTTCATAAGATCAAAAGCAAAAATTTAAAAATGCTGGAAGTTGATCCAGACTTGAATATGACAATTCTCCAAGGCATAGAAAAGACCCTGTATCATAAATTGTACAATGAGAAGAATGCAAATGCTGTTTAAACTACTCTGATAATTTTTTTATAAGGAAATAAAACAGTTTAATTCTCAGGGTTCCAAAACTTTAAATTCAGTGTGCTAAGCAAAAATTAGTTTAAATATTTTTTCACTTCCCTATACATTTATAACCATCAGAGTTTTTAATGTTGTGACAAAAATGCTTGAAGATGATATGAGTCCAAGTGTCATCTAGCCATTCTGTCTTTGGCTTCTAACTCCTTTCACCTGATAATGAATCACGCTCTAAGGAAATGATTATTTGACTAATTAAGAATAATGAAAGGGGATCCTGAGTACTTGTCAGGCCTGAGTACTTTTTATGTCAAGTGTCAATTAGAGGATGATGAAATTTGTAGTTAGCCATTTGCTTTCTCTGAACCAGAAAATTAGAATAGTGCACAGGTAACTGAGTATTGACTTCATCTTGAAGTTCTTAAGTTCTTTTTGGGTTTGAAGTCCTCACTGCAATATTTTTTTTTTTCCTTTTTGTCTTTTTTCATGACCGGCAACGGATCGCAACCCTCAGTGTCGCGCCCGTACTGGCCCGGGACCGGCAACGGGATCGCAACCCTCGGTGTTGCTCCCCGCACCTCGCTCAGCCAGTGAGCGGGAACCGGTCTGTATGTGGGATCCGAACCCTCGGCGGGAGCGCCGCCACGCTTCCCAAGTGGCTCACTGTAGCAGTGCGCCACCGGGCCGGCCCCTCACTGCAATATTTTGAACTCAGACTTAAGAACAACAAATACATTTGCTCAAACTCACCCTTTATAGAAAATCTACATGTGTGAATAGCATAAACACACACACGTTCATATGTATTACTTTTATTCCATTAGCATGTCCATTTGTGTTCTTCAGCTTGGGGACCCTCCTCTCCTGCTCAGTGAACCTTTTAATCCTTTCTTTTCCACTTCCAGCCACTTTCCCATGTAGAAATTTCCAGATATTCTTATTTTTTCCCCCATTTTCTTTAAGCCCCAAGCTCTTACATATTTACTTTGCAGTTAGTTTCCGTTAGTTTCAAACATGAGATCAAATGATCCAATATGATCTTCTTCAGTTTTCCTAGCCTTCACCTTAGAATGTTTCTATACTATCTCTAATCTTCTCTTCACCTTCTTTCTTCAGCGATAAGTAGCTCCTCCTTTTTCTCCAAATTTAATTCTGCTATTTTGTGTCTGTAACCACTTCCCTCCTGACTGCTCCAGAATCCAAACACTCTTCATAAATTGCTTTCTTGAAGTTCATTGATTGTTTCCAAGTATAATGGTTTCTTCCTACTTATTCATTCAACAGACATTTGAGTTTATACCATGTACCAGACCTTAAAATAAATGCTTATGCAAATATGTGACAGAATAGGGAGCTCATAATCTTAGAGCCGGGGCAAGCTTTTTGTTAAAAAGTGACTTTTCTTTTCTCAGGCTGTTCCTTTCATCTGCAGTCACTTTATTTCATTCTGCATGTCCAACCTCTCACATTCTTCAAGGCCTAGGTCAAATGCCACTTCCTTAATTTGTTGGCCTTTCCTGGCTCTTCCACTCTCTGTACTCCTCTTAAATTGTAATGGTGTATTTCTCCCTTTTGTTAGTGATTTTAAAGTCTCCGTCTTAATCCCCCTCCTAGAGAGCAAGGACTTTTACTAAAGACAGAATCTCTATTATACTCAACAGTTTATTCCTCTCCTCTGCCAAAGCTAGCATTGAGTCTTCCAGGCCCAAAAAGTAGTTGTTAAATGTATCAATGAATATTTCTGCCAGGACTGTCAAAGGAACTTTGTTAAAAATGAATATTTGTTGGGCCGGCCTGTGGCTCACTCGGGAGAGTGTGGTGCTGATAACACCAAGGCCATGGGTTCGGATCCCATATAGGGATGGCCGGTTCGCTCACTTGGGAGAGCGTGGTGCTGACAACACCAAGTCAAGGGTTAAGATCCCCTTACCGGTCATCTTTTAAAAAAAAAAAAAAAAAGAATATTTGTTGTGTGTCTTCTATGTCAGGCACTAAGTGCTTTGTATGTAACAACTCATTTAGTTCTCACAACAACCTTTATGACGTTGCTTCCCTTAAAGACTTTCATTATTACAGATAAGGA